CCCTTCCAGACCATCTGCTGTGCTGTCTGCAGGCTGAGCTGGAGTGGCTACAGAGAGGGAGGGGGAAAGAGAGGAGAGAGACCCAGCCAGCAGTCAGTGTCTCTCCTCAGCTCTCACCTTTCTTATTTGGTGATCCCAGCCAGAGACAGTAGGAAAGGCAGCTGGCTTTTAGTTGTTTTTTCCTCTTTGTTTTGCTAAACTATTCTGAGAACCCAGCTCTCCCACAGCACAGAAGCATGGGGGACAGTCGCTGGCTCAAGATGTGACCCCCGATTCAGCAGTTCAGCATCTGTAGTGTGAGCAGCCGCAGTAGCGTTCTCTGGGTGATTTTCTGCGTTAAATTAGATAACATCCATGGTGTGCTTGATGAATAGAGATGTTCTCTGAGTTCAGAAGGAGAGGGATGATCTTAAAATGTCTGTTTCAACCGATGTTGGCTTAGCATGCGGCAGCCTCTAATCGGTCTATGATACTCTTCATCCTTCCCTAGTCAACCTCCATCTACATCTCCATACATTGACAATCTGCATGATATATTTTTAACAGCTCTGTACTTTTGTTCAGTTCTATTTATATCACAGAATGTGCAGTATAAATTCTATAACAAGGCACTTTGGCTGTTTTTTTTGTTTTTGTTTTTTTTTTTTGCTATTTTAAGTAGTACTTTCTGATTTTTTTAGATCAAATTCACATTCTATAAATTTATCATTTAAAGTTCATGACTCAGCATGCTTTAGTATTTTTTTAAATATTGTGTAGCTACTCTTTGCGTCCAGAACACTTAACGATCATGAACATTTTTCCCCTGTAGTGTATTTCTACAGTGGAGTCACTGGGCCTCAGATGCTGAGCAGTTTCCAGCTGCCTTCCATAGTTAGACAAGCAGGATGGTGGGGCAAGGCCATGGGCCACCCTGAACCCCACAGGAGCCAAATTCAAGGGGTCTTTCTTCTAGTTGGCCAAACTGCTTGCACTTCCTCTTTCTAATACTGTGGGTTTTAGTTTGCAACCTTTGACCTAAAGGAGAAAAAAGTCAGTTGGCAACAGCTGGCAGTTCCTGGACGAAGTCCCCACACTGAGTACCATTGGAGTGCCAGCTCCTGGCTGCCCACCCTACCGCCCAGCTGCTGAGCCCTGTGCAGAGCCTCTTTCTCTTACACATGTGGCCCAGGCCACAGCCCTGGTCCTTCATAGCTGACCAGGTTGGGAGCAGAACCCATAAATCCATGGGCTGTGCTAAACACAGGCACACCCCTGGAGCTTGGAAAGAAGGAATAAAGGAAGCTCTCCTCTACTCTGCAGGTAGCAACCCCCAGGTGCACAATTTCTCCAGAACCAAGAAGCAGGTGGATAAAAATAGGGAAAGGGCCACTCGGGGATTTAGGAAGTTAATGAATAGTAAGCAGAAAGCGGCTTTTAAGGACTCTGGTGCTCTCTCTCCACCAAAATTTCATCTGCGCTTTCAGCTGTAACTGCCTTCTCTTTGCTTAAATTTGCTCTAATTCATTGATTTTCTATCAGGTATGGGTTTTCATGTTTGAGCATCTCTGAAGCTGGGTTTGCCGTCAGGTGCCCGGTTGAGCCAGCAGCCAGCTTCTTCCTGAGGCTATAGTTAGTTGGGTTTGAATCTCAGCTCGGTGTAATGGAGTCCATTGTCCTTCATTGTGCCACCAGTGATCTTTTAGGGACTCCGGGTGTCATGTCAGCGTTCTCAAGAGTCAGCAGATTTTAAATGGATACCGTCATGGTGTCCCTGTACTTTTCTCATGAAATGCCAACTACTTTTTCAAAGAATTGTTTGTTTTTGTCTTGTGTGTATGAGTGTCTTGTTTGAACGTATGTCTGTGTTCCACATGAGTGCTTGGTGTCCATGGGAGTAAGAAGAGAGCGTCTGGTCCCCTGGAACTGGAGTGAGCCACCATGTGGGTGCTGGGAACTGAACCCTGGCCCTCTGCAAGAGCAACAAATCCTGAGCCATCTCTTGCTCAGATTCAGAAAGACAGAATCTTACTATGTAGCCTTGGCTGTCCTGAAACTCACTCTGTAGACCAGGCTGGCCTCAAACCTATAGGGATCTGCCAGCTTTTGCCTTCCAGATTCTGGGATTAAAGACGTGCACCACTATGCCTGGGTCTGTTTTTATCTGTAGTTGTGTGTGTGTGTGTGTGTGCATGTGAGTACAGTATCTGTGGAGTCCAGAGGGCTTCAGATCCTCTGGAGCTTGGTGTTACAGGGAGTTAGTTGAGTGTGCTCGGAACTGAACTTGGCTCTTCTAGAAGAATGGCAAGATCTCCATCTCCTCCATCTCTCTAGCTCCCCCAACCGCCTTTTAAAATTTCATTCTGTCCAAGTAGTCTCCGTGACTGTGCAGCAGGGCCGGCTCTGAAGACTCAGGGTGTCTGCTCAGAGCAGATGCGCTCAGCCTCACAAACCTCAGCTGGAACCGCCTCCCATTTATCTGTTTAGATTCAGTATTAACTAGATTCCAGGTAAAACAGTGCTTAGAAAATACATGCAAGGTGAATATAACTATGTAATAAGAAACACAAACAGTTTTTAATTTAAATTTGTATTTTTTTCCTTCCTGGGAATGAGCCCAGAGCCTCAAGCATGATAAATAAACATTCTACCACTGCAGCACCAACCTCTTTCCGTTCTTCGGAAAACCCTTAGTGCGCTCATTTATTTGTCATTTGTGCGCATGGCGTGCTCATGTATGTACATGCGTGTTCTCAGGGGGAGTCAGGTGTCTTCCTCAGTCATTCTCCACATTATTTGTCCTGAGTTAGGGTCTCCGTGTAGCCAGCCAGATATTACTGGGGCCCCTTCTGCGTCCTAGGTGCTGCAGGCACAGGCGGGCATACCCCCCCAGCTTCTCACACGGGTGTTGGCGTCTGAACTCAGGCCCTCTTGTGCGCATGACAAGTGCATGCTGACTGGGCCATCCCCCGCCTCAGCCAGCGCTCGGTTCTCTTTACTGCTGTCACGGGGGTGTCCATAGGTCTCAGGGAGGGGCCACACTCTGGACGGAACTTTCTGTTTGCCTGTTTATTTTTTGTGGTGCTGAGGTTGGGGCCCAGGATCTCATGCGTGCTAGGCAAGGGTGTGCCGCCCAGCTCCACCCAGCCAGCCGCCTTCTCGCCTCTTCCGTCTGCCTCCCTTTGCCAGAAGAGGGTGTCAGATCCCCTGGAGCTAGAGTTACAGGCAATTGTGAGCTGACTGATGTAGGTGTCAGGACCCGAACTCTGATTCTCTGTGAGAGCAGCAAGTGCTGTTAACTACTGATGCATCTCATTGGCCCCATATAAGTTCCTACTTGATCAGAGCAACGCTGTCTCCTTGTGATGTTATGTGCCAGGATGTGTGTGCATTCATTCCTTCTGCTGTCTACTGAATGGCAGTGGCAGTGCCCCATACAACAGTTCTGTGCCCACCACGGGCCTCAGGTGCAGACATGAAAAGGTCAGCATCAAGTGGGCAGGAGAGCGCAGGCCTGCAGTGCAGGCGGCCAGAGCTCCTGGGTGCTCAGAGTAGACAGGGATTAGCTGCACGGCAGCACCCATGGCAGAGCATTTGGTAAGTGATGGCTCTTTGTGGCATGCTGTCAGGTTTGCTGTGTGACTGAGGAGGTGACTGGACAGGGTGTTTGTAGCCTGTGACGAGGGCAGGCACATCTGAGTGCTGTGCTGTGATGCTTGTGTCTGTGTTGAAGTCAGAGGTCCTCAGGGCTCACACGACCCAGTCCTGGCCCCGGTCACATGCCTCGGTGTAGAACAGGGGTAAGCAGGTGCTGGCTATGGGGGCCTTCGTGGTACAAGAATGACATATGTCAGGTGCTAGTGTTATGCAGGTCACAGGCAGCAAGCTTTGGGCTTGGTGTCCCAGGCACGACCCCTTACCTTCACACGCCCACTTACCAGCCAGCCAGCTCCACCTGGATGTTTTCAACACATGTACCAAATGCATGGTTTCCTTTCGGCCATTTGTTCCCTGCCTGTCCTCTCACCTCTGAGTGTTTCCACTGGCTGTCCTGTTGCATAGGCCCACTTTGAGGATCTGCCCTTGCTCCCTCTTTTTGCTCACACTGTCCTCTTCTGCTGGCAAATCTAGTCAACTCCAGGCTGAAAAGACTAGCCCCTTGCCCGCTGCTCTGGCGGGAGCCTGGCCATCTCTTCCTGCCTCCACAGCCTCACCACACAGCCATCCAGTGCCCTGCTCTCAGTGTGGTGTGGGCCTGCCCCTCTGTGGCCTCCATGGCCTTCCTTCAAGCCCAGAGCACTGTGCCTCTAGCTCGTTCCACAGGACCTCGGCTCCCCGTCAGCCTCGTCTAAATCATTCCTTGGTTCTCTCTGCCCAGTCCCAGCAGGCTCAGTCTCTCCTCCCTCAGGGCTGTGCAATTGAGGGCCCTTCGTCTGAAATGAAGTCTCAGAGGAGCCTTCCATGGCCTCTGACACAACTCACAGTTTTATTTCATTTTTCTCCTTCCGCCTTCCTCTCCTTCCTGTGTTTCATTGGACCTTGGCTGAGTGTACTCTTGCACTGGGTCATGGGTGGTGTTTTTAGCTGTTTAGCAGCAGGATATACAAACCAGTCAACTAAGTAGCCCGAATTAGGAAGTGGCTGTCAGAGCCAGCGCCTGGTCCTCTCCAGACTGGCCTACTTTCCTCTCGCCCTGACCAGGTTGCTGCTCCTGCTGGCTAGTGCTCAGGGAGGGAGGGCAGGGCCAGGAAGCTGGCCCCAAACCACGGATGTTTCTGCCTAGCCCTGAGACTAGAATCTTCCCGAGCAGGTCCTGAATACGCCCCATGGGATAATCCCTTCCCTTAGAGTAGTTCTTGATGAAGGGAGGTTGCCCCGACTGTCCCTTTCCTGTCTCATGCTGAGTGCTGTGGCACATGTTGTCATGGGTTCTCTGGATGGAGGAATGAAGATGCCTGGACAAATGATGGGGTGGCACCTTACTGCCTCAGGGACCCTCTGACAGCCGCCCTGTTGCTCAGGTCGCGCCAGTTTCTACGAGGAGTACGGCGTCATCCGTGACACCCTGCAGAACCACCTGACGGAGATCCTAACGCTGGTGGCCATGGAGCTGCCCCACAACGCCAGCAGCTCGGCCGCTGTGCTGCAGCAGAAGCTGCAGGTCTTCCAGGCCCTGCGGGGGCTGCAGAAGAGCAGCTCCGTCCTGGGCCAGTACCAGGCCTATAGCGGGCAGGTGCGCCAGGAGCTGCAGAAGCCAGACAGCTTCCAGAGCCTGACGCCGACCTTCGCAGGTAGGCCCAGAGCGGCATCGGCTGGCTGGGCCGCTGCAGCCAGACACTGCTCTTGTACCCAGGGCCCTTTAAAGTGCGGTAGCTGAGACTCCAGGGAGTCTTCAGGGAGCACCCAGTGCATGCTGATCACCACCCCTTAGGCCTCCTGCCAGTTGAAAGCTGCAGGTCACCGGGCCGGAGAGATGGCTCAGCAGTTAGGAGCATTGGCTGCTCTTCCGGAGGACTCAAGTTCAATTCCCAGCACCCGCATGGCAGCTTACAACTGTCTGACTCCAGTTTCAGGGGCTCTGACACCCTCCATCAGACATACATGCAGTCAAAACACCAGTGTACATCAAATAAAAATTAAATTAAATTAAAAAGCAATAGGTCACCTGCTTCACCCTCAGTTCAGTCCCAGAAAAATCTCCTGAGGGCTTGCCTGAGGGGCTCAGATAGGCGCTGCCTTCCATAACCGGGGACAGACCTCTGTCCAGCCACAGCCAAGGAAAGTTACCGTGGACAGATGCCATATGGGCCAGCATTTAGCTGCCAGTGCTACCTGGAAAGTTCCAGAACCCTCTGGGGAGAGAGGTTGGCTCTTGGCAGTTAGAGACCATGGCCATGAGACAGCCCCTGCATCTGGAGCCCGTTGGATGTGCCAGGCAGTGTGTGTACCTCACCTCAGCCCTCACATGCCCTCGGCAACTGCAGCTATTGTGTTCGCAGGCGAGGACACAGAGGCAAGGCGAAAGGCAGGCTTGAATCCGTGTGCAGAATGTCAGTGCCCGCTTCTGTGACTGCGGCACGCACACATGCACACATTACCCTCTCTCCACGGCCTCTCACCTGCTCCCCACCCACCTAGCCTGCACTCAGGCGTGACCTTGTTTTGGTATCCTGGGGGCTCCACACAAAGAGCTGCCCGTCCTCAGCACACTGCCCTTACCCACCAAGACCCAACATGCCTCCCGCCCCCTTTGCCTCACCAGAGAGCCTTCCATGGCAGGCATAAGCCTAGTTAGATCGAGTCTGTCAGAGGGACCTCAGGGTGTTCGTGTTTGGCTGTAGAATTAGCCCCTCAGGCTGTCTCCACCCCTGCCTGAGAAGAAGAGGCAGCGGAAGGCTGAAGGCGCCGCACGACAGGGGCCTGGCAGGGGCACTGAGGCAGGGTGGACTGCGTGGCCAGCTCTCAGGCTGTGATGTCACTGTCTGTTCTTTCCCTGCCTCAGGTGTCCTTGTCCACATCGACAACCCACGCTGGGAGGGTGTACCATTCATCCTGATGTCCGGCAAGGCCTTGGATGAGAGAGTGGGCTACATTCGGGTCTTGTTTAAGAATCGGGCCTACTGCACCCAGAGCGAGGGCCACCGGGTGTCCGCGCAGAGCCGGTGCCTGCCCCAGCAGATTGTCTTCTACATTGGACATGGCGAGCTGGGCCACCCTGCCATCCTGGTCAGCAGGAACCTGTTCAAGCCTTCCCTGCCCTCTCAGAGCTGGAAGGAGGTGCAGGACCATCCCGGGCTCCGCCTCTTTGGTCGTCCTCTGTCTGATTACTACGCCTATAGACCCGTGCGGGAGCAAGACGCCTACTCCACCCTCCTGTCTCACATCTTCCACTGCCAGAAGGAGTCCTTCATCACCACAGAGAACCTGCTGGCCTCCTGGGTCTTCTGGACCCCCCTCCTGGACAGCCTGGCTCTCGAAGTCCCACGCGTCTACCCAGGCGGGGCAGAGAACGGCTGCCTGCTGGACTTCGAGTTCAGTGGTGGCCAGTTGTCCTTCTCCCAGCAGCAGCCGGAGGTGCTGATACCGGGGCTAGCGTCAGCCCCAAAGCCCAGCGACTTCCAGGTCCTCAGGGCCCAGTACAGACAGAGCCCGCTGATCACTGCCTGGCCGGAGGAGCTGATCTCTAAGCTGGCCAGTGACATCGAGGCCACTGCGGTGCAGGCGGTACGACGCTTTGGCAAGTTCCACCTGGCCCTGTCAGGCGGCTCGAGCCCCATAGCCCTCTTCCAGCAGCTGGCCACAGGGCATTACAGCTTCCCCTGGGCCCACACACACCTCTGGCTGGTTGATGAGCGCTGTGTCCCTCTCTCAGATCCAGAGTCCAACTTCCAGGGCCTCCAGGCTCACCTGCTGCAGCACATCAGGGTACCCTACTACAACATCCACCCCATGCCCGTGCACCTGCGCCAGCGCCTTTGTGCTGAGGAGGACCAGGGTGCCCAGACCTATGCCAGCGAAATCTCCGCCCTGGTGGCCAACAGCAGCTTTGACCTGGTTCTCCTGGGCATGGGCACCGATGGGCACACGGCTTCCCTGTTCCCACAGTCACCCACCGGCCTGGATGGCGACGAGCTGGTGGTGCTGACGGAGAGCCCCTTAAGGCCGCACCAGCGCATGAGCCTCAGCCTGCCCCTCATCAACCGAGCCAAGAAAGTAGCTGTCCTGGTCATGGGGAGGACAAAACGGGAGATCACCATGCTGGTCAGCCGTGTGGGCCACGAGCCCAAGAAGTGGCCCATCTCAGGGGTGCTGCCTCTCTCTGGACAGCTGGTTTGGTACATGGATTATGAGGCCTTTCTGGGATGACAGGAGCATCCTGAGCTTAGTCACCCTCAGGCTTTCTGTCACCTACCCAGTTGTGTCCCAGCTGTCTGGAGCCTTGTGCCAGAGTCCAGGCCCCAGAGAAGGGAGGACAAAACTCTGCCCCAGCATCATGGTTCTGTGTAATTATGGTGCCTAGGCATGGAAACAGAACTCAGACTCAGACCTCTGCTCTGAAGGTGCCTCAAAGCCCAGACAGGAGAGGAGCTAAGGCCCCTCACAGTATCACACCAGTGTCTACAACACACAATAAGACAGGAGGAACGCTCCATGCTAAAGAACCAAGGTGGTGTGCCAAGACTGGTGGGTGATCTTTGAACTGGCTTCTGTGGGAAGGGGGTGAAGAGTTAGTTGGTTAAAGAGAAGGCTGCAGAGACTCCTGGGGATTGTGGTGCCCAGGCGCCAGGCAGGAAGAGCAGAACCGGTGCTGAGACCGCACTGGGCGGCCTGCCTGCTCTGGCAGCCCTTCGTCCCTCTGTACCTGCTCTGGGTTGGACATCTGCTGTCCTCTGCATTCCCCGTTACCCCTAGCCTCTCCCTCGACACAGACACAGACACTGCCATGTTAAAAAAAGATTCCCCCCAAATCTAAAGACCAGGGCTCCCTTTTTTCCCACTGAGAACTGTTCTGGTGTCACTGGGCCACTAGCTCTGCTCTTGGGTGACTGCAGCTCACAGCCTCTTTCTAGGCCTCTGTGGCCAGTTCCCAGCACCGGGGCAGACTGCAGCTCGCTCTCCTCACACTACCTCTTGGAGCTTCAAGCCTCGTGGCTGATTTCCTCTGCCAGTATCTCCAACCTCATGCCACTAACCTAGTACCCCTGGGAACACTATAGGCAGCTCCTAACTTCAGCCTCTTCGAGGGCCTCAGAATTTAAATTTTTATTTTAAAAGAAAGCCAACAGCAGAAAGCAAGCTTTTCGGGGCATGTACGGTTTCATTTCCGCTTCCTGTTAAGTCATGTGAACAAGGAAGGGTGCAAAAGGGTTAGGATGACCCCTGCCTCATGGTCACATACTTTGTCAGTAACACAGTCTCTATGGCTTTCAGAATTTTCCCAGAGAGGGCCTTTTATCTGGTGAGGAGCATCAGAAAATCTGTTTCTCTGCTTTCCATTGATTGTACTTTCTCCCAGGCAGTTCATGAGAAAGAATTCTTCCTTTCAGTAGAGATGTGTGCACAGAGGATAGCCTGAGCTGGAGTTCTGTATGAAAAGCACTCTTGTTGAAATTCTGCTTACTCTGGCCTCCCGCAACCCCGACTGACAGAACACCTCTATTCCAAGAGAGCTACACTTGGCATGATGAAAGCCCTGGGGTCCTTCCCTGGCCAGCTTTGCTCAAGGTCGGTCGCAGGTAGTTGCCGGTGAAGTTCCAGCTTTGGCCATGTGGGGGAGCCCACATGCCACCACTCACATTCCACACTGCAGGCAGGCTTAGTGCCAAACGTCATTTCTTTGTGTCTCATGCAGTCTGCCTCTCTGGCTTCTTAGCCCCAGTGCCTTCTCATCTGTTCTTTAAGGACTCAGCCCTCAGCAGTTGCAACATCGGAGATGAAGGGGCCTTGCATGCTGTAGGGGAGAGGGTGAACAGGCTTTGTGTCAGTGTTGTGAATAAGAGTGAGTCAGCGCCCAGTGTGAGCTTAGAATGTTCTGTTCTTACCCAGAAGAGTGACTCGCCTCTATCTGTGGGGAGTGTGCACAGGGGAGGCCAGTGGGGAAATACCAAAGATTTCCTTTCCGGAAGCAGGCACTAATAAAAGACAAAGGAAATGTTGGCGGGAGACATTGTCTTTCTGCATGCACCCGTGTGCCCTTTTTCCTTCTGCCCCTGGGGTTGCTCATATTCAGGACCACCAAGGCTGCCACTGCTCAGACCTCCTGGACCATCATCCACGGCCAGCAGTGTGCTCTACCACACCAGCCAGTCACATACGTGTATAAATGTGTCTTCAGTCTCAGGGAAGGAGTTTGCAGTCTTAAGACCTGGGATACCCTGTTTTTTATTTTTCATTAAAAAAAATGTTGCTTGCAAACCACATACGTTGAGTTGATAACAGTGTGAAGAACCCAGCCTTTGCCAGCTTCCTGCCTGTCAGGAAGTGGAGGTCTGAGGTTGGGAGGAGAAGAGCTCATGGCCAGGTCCCTGGGGAGAGGGGGACGTATGGCTACTTTGTATCTGGGACACAGCCTTCCCTCTCTGAAGTCCACTTCCACTTCAGGCTGCCCAGGGAAATGAGGCCCCTGCAGCCGTGGCTCAGCTCTGAGCTCACAGGCTTTCATCCTGGGCTGGCCCACGCCCCAGGTGGGAGCCTGCTAACGGCATCCTCTTCACTCTCCCTTGGAGAGAGGGACGAGAATGATGAAACTGGAAGCAGAAGCCTGCACCTGGCTTTGGTGGTTCTTGCGTGTCCCTGTGTCCTGACAGGCGCGTGCTAAACACCATGCATAGGCTCACCTTGTCCTGTTTGACAGCCCAGTATGCTGCATGCTGGGACCTCAGTGACTGATGATGTGAAGCTGGAAAGATGTCCAGGGGCAGCCAGGAACTGCCTGTTACATTCTAGAGCCCAATCCCAGCAGCCTGTGGGGCCTGTTCTTTTTCAGGGGACCCATGAGGGCCTCACACGGCAGAGTCAGGTTCCCTGGCTGGCCCACAGTTCCACCATGGGAAGGATATAGAGGTGTGTGAAAGGCAGGAGTCCTCCTTGGGGTGACATACTGCTCAGCATCTCCAGGCTTGTGAGGGGCTTCTGGAGGTTGCAGGCTAGGTTCTGGTCTCCAGTCCTTGGCAATTGTTCCTGCTAATTGTACCTTAAATGTTCCCATCTCGTTACTTTCTTGCGTTTATGATTTTTTAATTTATGTGCACATTTTGCCTGCACGTGTGTCTGTTGAGGGTGTCAAATCTTCTGGAACTGGAGTCAAAGTTGTGAGCCACCTTGTAGGTGCTGGGAATTGAACCCAGGTTCTCTGGAAGAGCAGCCAGTGCTCTTAACTGCTGAGGCATCTCCCTAGCCCCAAATTGCTGCTTATTATTGTTCTATAGTCACTATTCTTTTCTCACTTTTGGTCCCAAAATTATCAGTGGACTTGGAGCTTCCTGCCACTTGGACAGGTTTCTCAGACCTTTTCCCTCAGGGAGAGGCTTGCTCTTCCCAGGTCTCTTGTTGGTTAGTTTCCCTCTTTCCTCCATTCTGACTGAGAGCCAGGGTTGTGCGGTGGAAAAGGGAATGAAGAAACTTCCAGAAAATCTTAGTGGGACTGCTTCTTGGAATTTAGTTTTCAGGAACTTTTTTTGTCTTTTGCTCTCCTACAAAGTATGTGGCCCCACAGAGGGGCTCTGCTGGGGAACCCAGCTGTATTTTTATCTTCAGCAGCTGTGGCTCCTACTATTCCATTGGTAGAAACAGCACCAGGCAGCATTCCAGCGTGAGGGAACCAGTCACAGGTGGTGGGAAAGGAGGGCCGAGTTGGTTGGCTGAAGTGGTTACCACCTGCCTGCTCTGGGAACGACTCTCCAGAGGAACCCGGATGGGGCTGCTGCTTTCCACTCTCTTCTTGAACCCAGCTCTCCAGCAGCAGCTCTGCACCAGTGTCTCAGGCCCCAAGGTTGTGCTGTGGCCCAGGAACCTTGGCACTTAAAGATGTGCTCGTGGCTTGGTTTGGTAGCCAGCTTATCCACGGGGGGGGGGGGGGGGGGGTTGCGCTTGGAAGTTAGTCAGAACCCAGCCTGAGGTAGTTAATCGGGGTGCCTCGGCACTGTTCTGTCTGGGCCCATTTTAATTGCAGTCATTGGGGATGCCCAGCTGAAGATGAGATCGGTTCGCTGCTGACTGGGCTCTGCCTAGGCCCATCCGAAGCTGGCACGAGCTTGGCAGCACAGTCTGCCGGTACAGAAGATTCAGTTGGTTGCATGCTTGTCCTTTGCTTTCCTCATGCTTCATCCCCTGGGGGTGGGGGAGGCTTTTCTGCCTCCTGCCCTTTCTACACTGGAGCAGAACTGGCCTCTGGGTATTGATTCCTTGCAAGGATGTGGCCCCTGGGAAGGAGAGCAGGAACCAAACCAGAATGTATTCCTGGAAGATGCATGAGGCAGATGTCTTCAAGGAACACCAAACCCTGCCGTCTGCGAGCTCCTCACACTCGCTGCAGCCTCCTCACACTTAGAGGTGGGTGTGAGGCGCCCCAGTAATCTTTCAGCTCCTAGCTGAGCAAGGTGTCAGTTCACCACTGCTGCCACCAGCACGTGGTTTCCTGGCAAGGGCTCTGAGGATGCCTCGCTGGGATCTAGAAGCCACGGGGATGGTGATGGCTTGGAAGTTTTCTTCCCAGTCAGTCAACATTGGGAGCTTATTTGCAGGTCTCAGGGGATGTCCATGTCTGTGTGTGAGCATGGAAAGGATCTCAGGTTAATGACACTGTGTTTACTCTTTGACCTCCAGGCCTGACCTTGGTTAAATCCCTGTGTTGCTTCAACGGCAGGTGTTTTAAAGGAAGTTTGTGTATCTTTCCTGTCTTTCTGTTGAGTGGCAAATTCCTACGTTTGCCAGACACTGTTGAGCCCAAATGAACAAATGAGCCCAAATGGGAGTTTGCACTGAGAGTGCGGGTGTGCATAGACACTGAGTAGATCAGAGTGTGGGTGTACGTAGACAACCACATGTTAGAGTGTGTGCGTGTCAGAGTGCGGGTGTGCATAGACATTGTGTGTGGCAGAGTGATCTTTGCTTGGGCCTCAGAGAGGCCCAGATAGTCTGGTTATGATGCTTTATGGGAATGTGACTCAGAGCATGTGCCTAACGTGCACAAAGCCCTGGGCTCCATTCCAGGGCCACATATACTGGGTATGATGGTACACACCTGTAATCCCAGCGCTTGGAAATGGAGGCAGGGGCATCAGAAAATCAAGGCCATCCTTGGCTGCACAGCAGTGTCGAGCCAGCCTAGGGCAGTTGAGACCCTGGTTGTTTTTGTTTTCAAGCATTGTGAATGCAGAAGGTAAACCTGTGAAATACCCATGTTTTTTCCCTTCTTGTCTCTGGGGGTCCCAATAGTTGGCTCTTCCTGGGTCTGTCCACTCGGGAGAGCTAGGCTAGGGTAAGTGGACTCCAGGAGTAGCCAGGGCTACTTCTGGCCACCGCTGCCCGAGTAAGGAGCCTGATTCTCCAGTCTCTGTGATAAACACCAGAGAAAAGCAAAGAAGGAAGGATTTATTTCGGTTCATGGTTCATTTTAGCCCAAGGTCACTTGACTGTGTTGTTTGTGGGCCAGAACCGAGGCAGAATGCATTGGCAGGAGCATGGTGACCCAGAAGTGGGATAAAACAGGCCAAGAAGGGGCAAGGGACAAAGCGTGCCCTTCAAAAGCACACAGGCTGAGACCTCCTTCCGTCTCCTGCAACAGTGTTCACATATTATGAAACCAGCAAGGAATTAATGCATCGGTGACGTCACTTCTTCAGGATGCAGACATCTGCAGTGCCCACCAGCTGGCAGCACAGCTCCCCATGCAGGAGTCTGCCTCAGAGCTGGGATTTGGGGATCAGGTAGGAATGGCAGGGGGCAGTGGCATAGTTTGGATTGCCCAGGACCAAGAATGTGTTTTGTTTTGTTGTTTGAGACAGGGTTTCTCTGTGTAGCCCTGGCCTCCTGGATCTCACTCTGTAGACCAGGCTGGTCTTGAACTCAGAGATCCATCTGCCTCTGCCTCCTGAATGCTGAGATTAGAGGTGTGTGCCACCACTGCCCAGCAAGAATGTGGGTCTCTCCCCTCGGGGAAACTCCTCTGATCTTCTGGAGACTCATACTGCCTCAGAGAATGAAATATGTTCAGAACAAGTGCCTTTAAAAACTTTCTTACCTGTTTTTTTTTTTTTTTTTTTTTTTGTATGTCAAATGTAACATTGATTTTTTTTTTAAACAATAAACTTGTTTATTTGGCAAAATCCAGGTTTCTTCCTTTGGGAGATGGCGTGAGGTGGTTTGTGAGTCTGGCTCGTGTGGCCGGGGAGAGGACATGGAGCAAAAGACCCTGCCTGCTGTTTGTACTTGACAGCTTGTCACACGATAGAGGCCCCTGGTAGGAGAGCGATCGTCTTCTGGTCGTCCAGTGCACCTCCACACACACACACATGCATGTACACAGGTTTTTTTTTTTTTTTTTTTAATTGTATTCTTCTGGAATTCAAAAATGCTACTTAGAACACAACTGAATTTGCATATCTACTATGAAAAACAACGATGACAGAGTGGAAACAAAAACAAAAAAAATCCTCTCTCATGATCATGTGTCCTTCGGCCTGTATTTCACTCCTCCTCGTGACCTAATAGTATTCTCTCCTTTTAAAATTTAGACTCTATCTGTACCGACTCCGGCCACATGTATCCGTTCATCCATCACAGGCTGACTGGAGTATGGCGGAGAGCGTGTGTTCGGGTTTTTCTTTCCGAGTTTGGGTCACCTTGAATAATAATGTACTTTCCAGAGCCATCTGTTTTCCTGAAGAAAAAAAAAAAAATCCCACGATTTCATTTTTTTTTAAACTGCTGAATAGTATTCCAGCATGTAAATGAACCACATTGGCTTTATCCGTTCATCTGTTGATGAACACCTACGCTGGTCCCGTTTCCATTTCCTTGCTCTCGAGACCAGAGCAACAAAAAAACAAGAAAGTGCAAACATTTTTGTGGTGGAGTATGGAGATCTTTGACACAGGCCCAGGTCTGAAATGGCTGGGTCATAAGGTGGTTCTACATTTAACTTTTTGAGGAGCCT